GATCACAATGATCTACCTATAATCCCCTCCCAGGGGGATGGACAACAGAAAAGTGGGTGAAGGGAGACATCGGTCAGTGTAAGACATGAAGAAATAATAATGCTTTTAAATTATCAAGGGTTCATGATAGAGGGAGGGTGGGGGAGGTAGGGGAAAATGAGCTGATACCAAGGGCTCAAGTAGAAAGAAAATGTTTTGAAAATGATAATGGCAACAAATGTACAAATGTGCTTGACACAATGGATGGACTGTGATGAGTTGTATGAGCCCCCAATAAAATGATTTTAAGAAAAAGTCCAAGTGTCCTCAAATCAGCGGGCTCCTTCTGTGGGATCCCGGAAAGTCTGTAGGATGAGAACTCAAAGTCTTACGCTTTAGCCCGGGGCCCACTCCCTACTGCGTGTAAAGCCGGTGAGTAACACACTCCCTCAGCTTCCCAAACCCAAAGCACCACCATCTAGTCGAAGCCTGTAAGGACAGGGCCGAACTGCCCCTGCGTTTCCGAGACGGTAAAGGTTGACAGGATTAGACAGTCCTCCAACCGCTCGGCCTGCGTTTGTCTCACTTGTAAAATGAAGCGCAGGCTTCACACTGCAGGTAGCAGAAAGAGTGTTGGATGAGCTGGGTAAGTTGCAGGGTAGTTCTGTAGGGGCAGGGCCTAGGAACTGCTAAATGCTAACGTGGTGTAATGGGAGGACTCGGGCTATTCTTTTCAGTCAAAAGTGCTTTTTCACCTTAGGATACCGAAAAATAACCCAGGGCACACTGTCAGTGGCTCCATAGTTCCTGTACCGTTCCAGGTAATGCGAGCACGTGCTCTGTCTAATCAAACGTGAACAGAGGTCGTGTGTGTGGCCCTCTGAGAAAGAGGCAGGTCAGCACCCAGCACTTCTTCCAGCTCTGGCTTCCCTGACTGTGGAAAAGTAACCTTAGTTACCATAGTAACCTTAGTTACCATAGTAACTCCATTTGCCAGACTGGTTCTCAGACAGGCGAGGGCCATCAAACTTGCATTAGACTTTATATGAGCAAGAAATGAACATTTCTTACGTCTACACACTGAGAGTTTTGCTCTGGTCAGAGAGAGAGGCAGTTTCAGGGATATGTAGAAGACTGTGTCAACCTTCCCCTTCCTGGAAGTCGCTCTAAGCGGTCAATCCATTTTGTTCCAAGCTTTAATTTTGATTAGAAATCAGCTCTCTTAGTGAGGCATGCCATGAATCCTTCAAGACACTCCCCCGCCCCACCCAAAAAATGGCTTTTGCTTAATTAAAAAAACTTATTTATTTCCAGCCAGATAACATTTTCCAACTACATATACAGTTACATATTGTAAGCTCCTTCTTTGATACATATACACGTGTTCCAACATCCAATTCTAATGAGTAAAGTTTGTGCCAAACCCACATCATTTCTCACATAATTTAAATACAGTGCTGACGTGACACCACGGTACGAGTGATGGGCGGGGATGCCTCACTCTGCATCCGGAGCAGTGTCAGCACATCATCCCATGAGACGGTCTGAGGCCAGCCGGCAGCAAGCACCTGGCGCTGCCTGTCGACGGCGGAAGGCAGCTTCGCGGGAGGTCACTTTTCTTCTGTGAAAGGGAGTTATGTGCACATAAAGTAGTAACATGTATGCAATGTGGAAAGGCATTTCACAGAATGCAAACAATATCCAGGTAAATTAATGGGCTCTAGAATGAAGCTCCATTAACGCAAATCTATGGCTTACTCGGTTGGCGCTCCAGAGCCTTCTCACCGGCACCCAATAAATACCCATTTATTGAAGGAAAAGATGAGCAATCGCAGTAGTCTTGGTTCTTCAGCATTTTTAAAAAAATTTGGGCTTTGTGAGTTTTACTCATGCCATGGTTCTGTTTCTTCAGAGCAAATGATTCTATCTGGAAAGCCATTTATTCCTTTCAAACTAGCTTTAAATTCCTCGCTGGCATTTAGATGTCGAGACTCTTTCGAGAGGCAGATGGTCAGTCTTGGAGTCTGGCTGGCCCTCAGAAGAGCGCAGAGTGGCCGATACAAAGTCTTGATTTCCCTCTTGAGATAAAACAGCCTGTTTGGCTCAGAATTGTTTTATTTTTTTCCTCCCCTCAGGTCATTTCCCTCCGCCCCTCCCCCAACCCGCTAAATTTGATGTATTCTGTTGTTTGGCTCAGAATTTTCCATATTTAAGTTTATTCTTCATGCTTTTTCTCCTTCTGGCTCTTGTTACTTTCCCATGTCCCAAACGAGCCACTGGAAATACACAGGTTGAGCAAGGCCCCTGAAGTCCACTTCAATGTCAACTAGTGGACGGCTCCCTCAGGACTTGAAACAGGTGCTCTCGTAAAGCTCTGCCTTTGCAGAGTCCCCAGCTGCTCCGTGAAGGTAGGGGACTTGTTCTGAGGCAGATGCTGGGGAGTTCCCGCAAGGAAACGCCTGGAAAGTCTGGATTCCGCTTGGAGGCTCCTCCTATCTCTCTTCTTTCCAAGGCTATGGTTGCAATTCTGGAGACACATAGGAAAAGTTTCTAAACTCATCCTGGTTAATCATAGGAAGATGCCCCTCATCGATCGGGGTTAAAACGGGCTCTTCCTTTATGAAGTCAGGGTCGAAATTGCTGACGTCTTCTCGGGATTTCTGCCAAAAAAGGAGACAAAGGTCAAAGGTTACGCCCTTGAGACTTAGCTTTCCAGCCCATTCCAAAGACTTCAGAGAAGTGCCCTGTAGCTCCCCAGCAGCCGCAGCATCAACAGCCATGATAATGATGATTAAACATCCTTTGTAGCAAGTCCATTGCATTGTGTATTATTATGGCATTTGGTAACTACCAATTCACTAATCCCAGGAAAATCTTGCTGAGCAGGCTGGGAGGGTGACAAATTAGGCCCCTGAACCAGTTGGGCCCCTTACTCTTCAGTTCCTTTTAGCAAGGCTCCACTTCTCAAATGCCCCGATGGAGAGGCCCTGAGCTCATATTTCTCACTAGAGATTGAGCAAATTCACATACGTTCTACTCATTGTTTACTCAAAGAGATTTTCTCTGAGCAATTCTAAGACCCGCTGAGCTTAGGGGACAATTGTCTCTCATTTTTCTCACCGGTCATTATGACCTGCTGGGACACCAGTGTAGTGCACAATGAAGGCTCTGACCTCTGAAAGCTAAGCGTGCCCACACCAAGAGGGACTTCCGGGGATGCCATTCAAGGAGGTGGCATTGCCTCTGGAGACCGAGTGTGCATCCGTTTAGCAAGCTGGTCCACAGTGAGCTAGCTGTCCCAGGATGTACCAATGGCACACACTTGGTCATGAATGGAATATTAGAGGTAGTCTACCCAGAGGCACTTTGGAAAGAAGACTGATGATCTCTTCCCCCCAAAACTGCCCACGGAGCCACGGTCTACTCTTGACACGTTGGGCGTGGCCGTGGCTGGAGTCAGCTTGGTGCCAACTGATCACTCGTTATGTTCGGAGGAGTCGTGCATTTCCTATCTCTATAAACTAAGGCTGGAGGGATCATTCTGGTCGGTGTCAGACTGCCTCTCCTCTTGCGAGGGCCGATGGTCCTTCTCCCTCCGCCTCTGTGCCACCCCTCCTCAGAGCTCTCCCTGTCACTCAATCCCAGCCCGTCTACCTTCCCATTGTGGGCCACGTGACCGCAGGGGATCACGAGCTTAGGTTCCAGACTGTGAGCTGGACCACACGCACCCGGCCGGCCGCAGTGCAGCAGCGGTCCTGCGGAGGGAGCAGGCTTGACTTGCTCAGAGGGGTGTGCTAATGGGGCCAGTGTGGACTTGGGTTCAGGCGAGGGGCCAGGGTCTCGTGAAATGGGTAATATTTCACACCCCTTCAATTTTCTTGGCGGCTTCGGAGAGGCACAAAGCGCACCCTGACTGGCATGTTTGTTTTGTTTTGTTTGCCAGTTAGTCAAACTCATTGGGAGAAACGGGACGTTTCAGGATCCTCAGAAGCCGAGCATGATCACAGCGGTTAACGTGCGATGGGTCCAGCCCTCGGGAGGGTGACAACTCCAGGACAGGTCGCCAAGCCACACGGTGAGCAGGGGCCTCCCAGGCTAGCAGGCCAGGCCATCGCGAGTGAGACTACGGCCCTGTCAAGCTCCAGGCTGAGCTGCTGGTCTGACCACTGGGTGCCCAGAGGAACTTTGCCAAGAATGTCGGCTTGACGGTCACGGGTGTGGGACACTTACGATTCGGGGTCTGAAGGGTGGTTCTAACTGACGATGGTTCAGCTGGGCCCAGTCGATTTCCTTAAAGAAAGGGTGTCTCAAGATGGCAGGCTCCCCTCCCTGAGTCAGGCTGCCCAAGCGCATGGTGGGGTTCTTGGTCATGAACTGAGAGGAGGGAGAGAATGAGAGAAAGAGAGAGAGAACAGGAGCAAACGTGAATGTCACTCACTCACAAGGATGTCACAGACAGCAGGGCTCAGGGGCCTGCGGGCGCTTCGCCAGCTGCTCTTGCATCACTGGCTGGCATTTCCGTCATGGAAGCACGGTGGGTCTGAATCATCCCTAAAGGTGTCGATGCTGGTGTGTATTTATGGCCGTGTTCATTTCCATTTCAGACATGGCCACTAAGAGAAGCTGAAAGGGTCCAGTTCTCTTTTCCATCAACACCACGTATTTTTCTTTCCTCTTTCAGGAAAAGCAGCTCTTTATGAAATCTTCTGCCTTCTCTAACCCTGCAGGCACAGACCGCAGGCACCTTATGAATGGGGCTACTTTGGGGAACAGCTGTGGGGTTGTTCTGCGAGGCCCGACCAGCCAGCCACGGTTCCCACTCTCTAACAAGACCCGAGAGAAAAGAGTGGGGCTTTTTTATTTTTAAAAATCTGTGTAAAGAAGCATAAACAGTAAAACACTGAGCAAACTGAAAAGTTCTTTTTCACCCCCTTTTCTAACCACCTCCCTCCCCCCTCTCCCCTGGCTCTAGGAAAAACAAAGCCGGCCACGCCACCTTTCTTTACCCAACAAAGGCATCACATTCTGGGTGAAAATGTTCCTCTTCGATATGCTTGCTCCCATTTTGAAATAGATTTCATGACTACGAATCTGTCGTTTCACAGAGTGACCCCTTAACAAGCACGGGCACAGGCTGAAGCAATGTGTATCCATACATCCTCGGTCTGGATGTTGATTTGGAAACCGCCAAGGGGCTGAGCTCCCATAAAGAGTTTCGACCTAACTCCAGTTTCACGAAGTGGCCAGTAGAGAGATTTTGATCGCTGTCTGAATAAAGTCTGAATACACAAACCACAAATATAAAAACCAAATCCACCGCCATTCAGTCTATGGCGCCGAGTCTTTAGCTAACCCGTGAGGATGGAGTCGAACTGCGCCCTGGGCTTCCCAGGTCGCACACCTTTACCGAAGCACACGCCACCTCTGTCCCCCGAAGGCGTGGCTAGTGGGGCTGAACGGTGACTGTTTGGTTAATGCTTTAACCTAGGTACCAGCAGGGCTCCTTGAACAGGACTGGAACCCCCCCCCCAAAAAAAAAAAAAATTCACTGCCATTGACACGATTCAGACTCACGGCAACCCTGCAGGATAGGGTAGAAGTGTCCCTGTGGGTTTCTGAGGCTGTCACTCTATGGGAGTTAGACAGCCTGGCCACTGTGCCACCAGGGCTCCTGGAACGAGGGCTGGCACAGGGTCCTCTACTTGTGTCCTGGTCAGGATGGGATTCTCTACTGCAAAACCACGCAAGGAACTCGATGTTCAATTTCAGAAGAGAAGTCGCTTGAATAAAACATTTGGCTGTTGCTTTTTATCTAAACGAAGCTATTTCAAAGCAGACCAAGGCTACTTAGCGCAACAAGCCTTTTTCTCTCAAGAGAAGGCTAGGTTAAAAGAAATTGCCCCGGAGCTGACTTCATAGAGAATCAATAAGAAGAGAATCTTGTGGAGCAAGCAGACGTGAGAAGGGATGTTTGGAGGAGGCCACCTCTGCCGGGCCAGGTGTCCAAAGCTGTAAACTCACTAATGTTGCTGCAAGTGAAAATGATAATGTGGAGGAAGGGGGCTTCACACTTGCTAAGCCAGTTTGAAAGGAGATCGGTCATAAAATGCTGAAACAGGGATTGGGGGTGGGGGGAACACACTTCAAAGGGCTAATAAAAAATGAAGACACCGATAGAGTTAGCAGGCTTCTGGCTTCCAGGGACAAGGAGTTAAAAGGCACCCGCAGGCGGCATTGCATGTAGGACCCAGAGATGAAAGCGGAAATCAGAGCTGTCAGGTGCAGTCAGAAAAGTTACACCTTCGGCCCGAAAGTGCTCAGTGCAGGTCCGGGAAACACACGCGGGCCTTCCAAATCGACTAGGTATTGAAGAACGGAGAGTTCTGCGGCTTGATCGCTCCCTGGGTGAGCCTGTGCAACCCAGAACGGAAGGGAGAATCACCTACCTCAGAGGAGGAGGAGGCGCCCTCCTTCGAAAGGCCAATGAGATGTGATCACTGATGGTTATCAGTTTCTCTTCTAAGAGCTAATACCACCACCCGGAGACACACACACACACACACACACACACACACACACACACACACACACACCACGCACTTTACAAGAACTGCAGAACAGGCCTGTCTGTCTTGTCGGAACCCTCCAGGCCTGCCAATGATGCCAGCAGAGGACAGCCTGTGAATGTGTGGGGACAACTTGTTCTCCTGGGCACAGGTACCCAGGTACACAGGTACCCAGGTACACAGGTACCTGGCTTCTGCCAGGGTGGCGGAAGCCCTGGTGTCTGAGAGACTTTGCCCATTCTTCCTAGGCCTTGGCACTGTATCCCTGCTTCCACGGGGCACTCTGGAAAAGCCAGTGCCCGAGAAAAAGCAGACCAAATCACACTGCTCTTTCTCTAACACCTGAGGATGGGCAGAACATCCACTTCCTTAGCTCGACACTTGCTCTAGGGGCTCTGAGAAAGAGCTTGTGGAACGATGGGTGCAGTTTTGTGCTGACTTTTACCTGGCTTTGTCTGACACCTTTAGATGATGCAACCATGCTTCGTTAGGGGGTGGGAACCCCAAACCAACTTCAATGCACTTCAATTGACAAAGGTCTACAGGGTATTTGCTGTGTGCAAGGCAGTGTGGCGATGCACAGATGATAAGACATGCCCCCAATGTGGAAGCTGACCTTCTGGAAGGGAGACACAATTCAAAGCTGGATCCAATGGCAAGAGACATAGACTCAATGTTCAGGGAGGTGAGGGCCTGGGGAGGCAGCTTGTGGGTATGCGCACACGCTCACACATGGCTACCACAGCACTAGGGGCTCTGGGGACGGCTTCATGGAAGACGATGAGAACTCAGAGAGGCATGAAAGAAGGAACCAATCAGACTTCAGACGACAGCATGGACAAATACATAGCTGCATGCATAGGCCTAACATCACCTAGAATGCTGGCATGCAGGGATGCTCGGGGAACTTTGGGGGTAGCCGGTGGGATTCATCACAAACATATGAAGAGGGGAGGGACTACAGCTTCCCTGGGACACAAGGGAGATGATTTAAGTCCGTGTGAAATAAATCCCAAACAGAGAAGTAAGAAATTGGTGGTGGGGTAAACGGTGATGAGGCTGAGACAGCTGAGAAGCCACAAGTTCAGAAACGAGAATGCTTTTTAGTTCGTAAGAAAAAAACAAGAAACTTAGAAGTGAGTCCTAGAGGTCTTGTAAAAGCAGGATTAACACACTAGAGCAACAGCCTGGAGCTAGGATCAAGAAGTGAGGAGAGAGGCCAAGGTCACAGGGTCCCCCTGGCTGTCTGGTAGAGTGAGACGCTGGGTAATGGACAGAGAACCAAAGAGGAGCAGCAGGTTCTTCTGTGGACTCGTGGCAGTCAGAGTGGCGGTAGTTACTATAGGCAGCAGTAGCAGGATTTCTTCAGGGAAACAAAGTAACAAACAAACAACACATCTTGAGAGCTTATGGTGCGTCAGGGTGTCAGGGTCGGGGAGATGGACCAGTTCGCCTTTGCATTTGGTGTGTGGGCACCCACATGGAGACAATTAGCTGTGTACATCTGGAGTATGCACTAAGGTTAGAGACTGAACACAGACCAACATTTGGGTAAAAGTTTAAGCTGACCGCAGGCAAGACTGCAGTGAGAAAGTATAGGAGGGGATTTCAAAATCCATGCAAAAATGGAATGAAAAGAGTATTCATGAATTTCCCTGAAAATCTTCGTAGAACTGAGAGGACTGGAACATCTTTTACTTACCCGCCAGATATTTAAAAACCAGGTGAGATCACATACAAGTCTAGTTTTCCAGTGGACCATCTGGAACACCGGGCCTGGACTTCCTCTTGATAAAAATGGCCTCGTGTTGAGCAGTGGTGGCCCTGTTCGGACAGGGCCTTCCATCTTCAGCCAACCACCTGTCCTATCTGGCTGGCTTTATGCATTACTTTGGCTCCTGAGTAGACAGTGAAAACAAAGGCCAACATGGCGGCAGTGGGAGAGCATGACACCCCGGGGGAGGTCTCGCGTTAAAAACAGAAACCAGAGGAAGCATCCCAAGAAGAGGACGGAAGATCCAGTGCGGTGCTGAGGGAGCAGCAGGTGGCGGGTGGCCCTTCTTTGACTGCCTCCCTCCAAAGATCCAGAGACAGGGAAGTAAGTCGGCATTTCCCACCTGTCCCAGTGACCGTGCACACTGGTGGAGGTTTGCATGCAGGAAGGACTTGCTGTCTGACACTGAGCCAAGCACTCTCCCTGACCACCCAGTCCCGGCCTGTGGAAACAAAAATGGCAGTCCTTTTTCAGAAAACTTCCATTTGCTGATGTGCCTCGGGGAGCTCAAAAGTCAAATACGTTAACAGCCTGTGGTGAAGAGCAATCCATTTCATCGGTCTGAAGTCAGACTGAAAGCTGGCCTCACCTCAACTGACCTTCTCCCCGCTGTGGTCCAAAGGTACATGTCAGCCAGGGAAGAAAATAAAATGACTTCGGGGAAGATTGTGGACACATTTCCCCAAAGGAAGCAGGAGGCTTCCTAGGGCAATAAAAGCACTTTATAAGCTGCGAAGAGGCAGTGAGGGCGGGCTGGAAAATCGAATGCCACTGCAAATGTAAGTCTCGAGCTAACTGGCAAGAAGGGCAAGGAGGAGAAGCCAGGTCAGGAATGAATGGACCCGTCTCACCTCCCTTCCCTCAGCTGACTTGGAGGAGACTGAAGAAAGCAGCAACCTGGCCCCGGCTTTAAGAATAAGACCCCTCACATCCTGCCTAGGTGACAGAGAAGGTATAACTAGCGGGGCTAACGATTAACCATGCTCCTTCCTGAGGCCGAAGAGCCCTGGTGGTATAATGGTTCCGAGTTGCTG